AAAATACTAGTCTACTAAAATACAGCAAAAACAAGTTACTTTGTACAGACCAAAGGTCAGTTTTATGTTATTGGATACGGTAACATGAGAGCACATGTGCCGTGTGATTGTAACTGCTGTAATGTTAGCCAGGCACGCCTGAAAGGTCAATATAATTAAAATAATAAATATATATCAATGTATAAAGTTAGGAGATTTAAGTTATTTAGTCTAAACATTTATGTTTTCGAGTTATAATTTTTTGTCATTCTAGAATGAAAGAGCATAATTTATACTTATTTCCTAATTTTTTTTATGATGGTTACAAGAATGGTCAAATCTACCGAACCTGCATAGGGATTCGTTAGTGAAAATAACAGATAAAATATAAAGATTTTTTCTGAAGAAACATTTGATGACTATCTGGACATTATAAAGGTTTCGCATGAGAAACTTGAAAATTTTCTGATGCATAAAAGTATTTTTAATCTTAAAATGAAAATTAATTTGCATGTTGGATAGGCAACATACAAAAAGAAAAAAAGGCATGAGAAAAACATTGCTTAACAAACCTTAAGACTTAATAAAAAAAAATTATATTTTGAGTGTGAAAGCATTGTAATGTTTACTGATAATCTGCCAAATTTTGTTAACAAAGCTCACTAATTTAAAAGTTACAGCATGAAAACTATAGCAAGCACAAAATGGTTACAAGTCAATCCCAGGGACTGAGCCCATGCTGAAAAGAGTTAACTGGTATAACTGTAAATGGGATAAGATGAAATCTCATTTGTTCCAGTATCTTATGGAAGAATTGGTATGTTGCCTTGGTCATGCTGATAGATGTCTGTCTTGATGAAGCAACACTTCAATGGTATCCAGTCCATGAACAGACAGAATTTCCTTGCAATACTGTGGTGTCAGTATTTTAACCTGATAGTCTTCGGAATTTTCCTCGGCATTTTTCTCAACTTTCTTAATCTTTAACTTTAGCTTAACTACAGTAAACCCCCTTAAAAAAACGTTTGTGATATGTATTGTACAATTCTTGAAATGTTGTTTCACCAATGGAATGATAGTATATTGCCCAGATTTTGTTGTAATTTCTTTAAGTAAACATTCATTGTTGTGACATACTTTCACTTGTCACAAGCACAATGCTGCTTGTACAACTTTTGACACTTGTCTTCCATTCAGCTCGTGTCATTTTTATGGACGTAAATCCATGTGAATTATCTTATTTATACAGATTTTCTACTTTATACCTCAAAAGGACCACTGTATTCTTGTTATTGTTAGTGACAAGCTATTTAAATCACAGGTAGTTGGTCATGAATTAGTCTGATTTATCCCTGCTGGAACCACACTTTCATGCTTTACCAATATGGTTCAACACTACAGCTATTCCTTTATTCAAACACAAAAATTTCATGCCTTTCATGGAAGGAAAAGAAGATATTTGTGTTGGAAAGTTCTATAATCCTCTCACAAGAGTACAATTTTAAGCACCACATTTAAATGAATTGCAACAAGAGAGTCACAGGCCATGAGAAAGGTGGCCTATTGAGATAAATAAGTTAACAAAAAATAACAATACAATGAAATGGTCCTGCTTATTATAATTATGTCAATCTGTATTTATCTAATGAACATTAACTTATGTTCTTTATCTATAATTAAGTTACGCTTCTACAGACCAGAATAGAAACACAGATAAACTGGGAATGTTACTTACCTTCTATTTCTGCTGTACGAAGCATAGATTTAAGACATTGAGATATTGAAGCCTGTTTCTCAATATTCACCTCAAAGTCTGCCTGATCTCCAGCTCCAGCCCCAACACTGAACAACAGAGTTATCTACACAACAAAATAACACAGTTAAAAAAAATGACAGGTTTAAATTATACAAGGTCTAATGGTTTGGGAGTCAAAATTGTCTTAATTATTGAGTTTGTGTATAGAAAATATCCAATGCAATATAAAGAGCAACACATTGATGGATTTCATTCACTGAAAATCTGCTTGCTATTACTTGCAATCCCTCTCAATCAACTCTTTTAGATATGTTATTTACAGTTCTGTATGTTTGGGGGAAATAAAAAACAGAGCAAAATGATATTATCGTTATTTGTGATAACGTTATCATTATTTACCTCATCACTTTTTGGAGGACTACCATCTTCTAAAATGAGCAAAGTGCCATCACAGATCCCAGCATCCTTCAGTGTGTCACAGTCATGCACTGTTCAATATAAAATGACTTTTCACTCCTGAGTAGTTTACTTATATTAACCAGTATTATAACAATATTATCACACATAATACTTTTAATATTCCAACATCTACAAAAGGCTTTAGCACTCGAATCCTTTTCTCCTACATATACAATTAAAAGTCTTGGTTTTGAACATCAGTGACCTTAAGGTTGGTGAATGAAATCACAATAAGATTTAGATGTTTTTTCCACTCTCCAACTAATTTGTCCATTACTGATTTCAAAAGAGAAGTGTGTAAAAATAGTATTTCAAATCTACCATTAGTCTTCTACAAGCCTAGTTTGCTTATGAGGTCCTAGAACAGAAACAAACACATTTACTGTTAGTTACCAGCAAGATTATTACCTAACAGCTGACTTGGATTTACAATACAAGTTACATTTCCTGCTTTCTTCTAAGCATAAAAATTGAAACAGATACATTTTTTTTCACTGCTTTTTGAATAAACCTCACATTTTGAGAGCCCCAAGGAAAAGAGGGGCTAGTCAAAACTAAAACTACCCACCTTCAGGTCATCAGTTTAAAACACATCAAAAACATGTACTACTTAAATCCTTAAACATGAATAATCTGACTAAACGAATGATACTACTCAATACTGGCTAATAGTATTTAATTAAAATACTATAACAATACTCAACAAGAGCGATTACCTCAATGTGTAAACACAAACACTGAATGATTCAGTATTTAACAGCATGGCCACCGATAGATTTAATCATAGATAATCATATTCAAATTTTAAGATAAAAAGTCATCACAAACATCAAAAAATAGGGATTATAAAAAAACTTTATTGGCTTGTGCAAAAACTAACTGCATTTCAAAAGAAGAGCTGGATAAGGGAATACATTATCTGAAAAATGTTTTGTGAAAGGAATAATTATCTTGATATTGTGATCTAAGTAACTGTAGTTTCATCGTAAGAAGAAAATAATCGAGTTACTCATAAATTTCCATCTTATAAGAAATGATGACCAAGCCCTATTATTGCTGTCTTCTTCTTGTAGTATTCAAAGCATGCTGATTCCAGAATGTTCTATATTCCAGATTGTTTGTGTTTGAGCAAAGCCACATTAGGCCATCTGCTGTGTTAATCGTGGGGATACAAAATGCTCATCGTGCAGAAAGAAACCAAAGAAAACTAAGTGGGTTTGCTGCCTAACTCTAAAAACTGTTATATATAAAAGTATGATATAAATAAAGTGCAGTATTTTCTGTACCATAAATGAGTAAAATTTTATACAAGTTTTTTAAACCCTTATAATCCTTGATATGGTATACTACAAAGGCATAACAACATTTTTTTTCAGAATACATTATACAGAGTTATTCAGTAGGCTTTAACTGATTTTTTAAACTTGTTATAACATAAAATTATGATGTACTTCTAGTCCTAAAACTGTTAATGTGGAGCTATGAGATACCTGGATCATAAAAATTATATAATGTGGGGTATTAGTAATAATACTCAAATGGTAAGTTCAGAAATAATGAAACACAGAACATTTAATTAGCCTAATTCAAGTCTTTAATATGATGCAGGTAAAACCACATCTTAGCTTCTACAATGGTGCAACATGAAATACTGAGGCAACTTTCTTGTTTATAAAATAATAACACAGTTCTTCTTTACATAATTAGTGATACGTCTGGATGTGGTTCCTTTGTCACAAACCAAGACATACTAATATTGTGATGTATCTTAAGTATTGTAATTTCAATTTTAAAACTGTATACCCCTTTACACCATCTACCTAAAACTTCAGAGAAAATATATCAAATTAAAGCATTGTCTGTATACTTTTGAGTCAGTAATAGGTTTAGTTATGGTGTATCCTTTCTACAGTTGATATTGTAACACATTTAGCTAATGTATAACTGTTTGCTTTTGAGGTAGTTTTATGTTATGTAGAAGCATGTCAAATCACAGATATTTTAGTATTTCCTTTTCATAATGTCAAAAGAGATTGTCTTGTTTAGTGGCATAAATATTGTCAGGGGTGATGACAGGAAAAAGAAAATAATTTGAATATACTTCGTGTACAAAAGTCACTTTCACTCTTATTTCAGCAAGTTGCCATTTAACACGCAATGACAACAAGTATCATATTTATTATACTCTGAAAGATATTTTACACCATCACAGTCATTACAAACTCACAAGGTGGTTTTCTCCAGATGTTTTCAGGAAGTTTACGAAGTCTATACGAGGAATTTTTCAATTCTAGTTTAGAAAGAGCCATTAACTTCAGTTCTTCAACTGTCTGTACAAAAAAAAAAAGCAGAAAATTAAAACTGCATCATACATTTTACTTGTACTTTGCATTATAATGTAAAAATTCCTAGACACAGCATCCTGTTGTGAATTGGCTTGAACTAATTGAAATGTAGAAAATATTTTTCATATTTAGTATTTTTATTTAAATTGTTATAAAAAACAATAGTGTTACTTCTAATTATTTTTGTTATGATTGTAAAGATTTATTACAATCATGATGTTGATTTGATCTTAAAGAATTCTTATTAGTAATACGAGTAAACAAATATAGTTTTATATCAGTAATAAGTGGAACGTCATCAGTGCATTAGTAAAAAAAAACAGGCCATGCATACTGAACTTACAAATAATAGATAAAAGAAGTCTTTTTTTTTTAATTTCATGCAAAGCTACATAAGGGCTATTTGCACTACATATCCCTAATTAAACAGTGATAGACTAGAGGGAAGGCAGCTAGTAAACAACTCCCACAGCTAACTCTTAGACTACTCTTTTACCATTGACCATCACATTATAATACCCCCATGGCTGAAAGGGAGAGCATGTTTAGTGACAGGGATTCCAACCTGCAACCCTCAGATTGCAAGTTGAGTACCCTAACAACCAGGTTATGCCAGGCAGTTTCTACTGTGTCCATTATGGGGAATTGAATTTAACGTTTTTAACGTTGTAAGTCCAGAGACTTACTGCTGTCCCACCAGGGACAAGAAAATTAGACTAATCAGTAGATGTTGTCAGTCAACAACTACAAACATAAAAAAAAAAACATAGAGAGAACAAACTAACTAAAAGTTAAATTAATGGATGCTTAAGAAATAGAAAATATTAAACAATGAAATAAAATTTCTTCAGTTATTACTTTCTCTTTAATGTTTTTGTATAAAGCCCAAAGTTTTTATTTTGATTAGGTAGTGTTTTTTTGCATTGTTTCTTTGTTCTGGACAAACTAAGGTTCTGATTTAGAATTGTAGCTTCCAGCTATCAACAAGTCTTTTGCCTTTTGTTTTTGATTAATTTCTTTATATAGTGATCTTTCCTGTTTTAACTCTATTTAGCTTTCACACTAATACAAACACAAACTTACAGTTAAATATCAAACAATCCAACTATCTCTTGTTGTTTTCTATATAAGTAAGTACAAACGAAATGATATGTGGTATATTAGAGCATCTTGTAACTATTAACATAATTTATCATACATCATATTGTCTGCAACAAGTAAAATTCTACAATTTTTGTAGTATATATTTTATCATAATTTACACGGTCAGACCTTACTTCAAGTTGTGTATATCAGGGATGTAATTACTTTTCAGAATAGACAGATATTAATAGCAAGAAAGGGGTTCTAAGGAGTGCAAGAGGCAATTGCCCCTTCTGGGATCCCACATTCAGCATTTTTAAGGGTGAAAAAATGGTGTATTCCCAACAACACTAAGCTCGTTCAGAACTTGACAGTTTTCAACTTCACTCTTTCAGCAACTAGTTACCGAGCCTAAGCACATTGTTTTTTTAAAAAAATAATAGCCAGTAACTATTGATAAAAAAGTGAGTAGATTTAGCATCTAATTGATATTAACTACATCCCTCCACACACACATCCAAAATATGAAATATACCTATGTTGGTTGGAACTTCTGCAGCATGTCAAATATATATATAATTATTCAAAGCATCACCATTTTATATATTTCCATCATCAGACCATACTTCAAGTGGTATATATAGCATTATTTCCCATTACAAACATCATCAGACCATACTTCAAGTGGTATATATAGCATTATTTCCCA